AATGGGGAGTATCAGCATCTTAACGATGTGAATTTTTGCAATGCATGAGAATGGGGCATCTTCCAATTTATTTGTGTCATTTGCCACATCTTCTGCCAGTATTTTATACTTTTCAATGAACACATCAGTCACCTGAAGCTCTAATCAACTTACAAATACTTCTGGTTAAATTTTGATATTAACTTTTTATTTAATGTATATGGTCAGGGCTCATTGGTTTTATGAATGTTTTTTGTGGTTTGTGCTTTTAAATGAATACATAAAAGTTTATTTTTTTCTACTTTGTGTATGTTTGAATTTTTCATAATAAATTTATTCAAAGAAAAATGGGAATGGCTGGTTGTTGTCACACTGCAGGCAGGGGTGAGTGAGTCCTAGGTAGTAACCATGAGATCAAAGACACAAGCCACCAGTGACCTCTTAAAATTCAGTAATAAAAAAACAAATAGCAGCTGGGCATGGTGGTGCAAGCCTTGAATCCCAGCAGGGGCAGGCAAAGCATCTCTGGGAGTTCGAGGTCAGCCTGGTCTACATAGTGAGTTCCAGGTGAGCTGGGGCTACAGTGAGACCCTGCCTCAAAAAGACCAAAAAGCAAACAAACAAAACAACAAATAGCACAATTTCAAAAACTGGAAAAAAGACCTGAACAGATCCTTCCCACACAATAAAAGACATAAAATTATGACAGTAAACAAATATAAGATATTTGCTATATTTAGCACAAATGCAATGTTATACACAAATGCAATGTAAAGCTTCCATGTCAGAGGTATCTAAACACATATTTCAATATCAGTAAAAACTGACGTTATTGTGTTGACAATGATACAAAATTATCAAGATGGTCAAAATTTGCTAACAGGAATGTGCAATGGTATGATAAGTCTGAAAACTGTTTTCTTAAAAGCTATGCATTCACTTACAGTTCTCAGAAATGTCACTCAAGAATTTACCCAAAAGAAACACAAAGCATATACACACATATTTGAACATTAATGTTCA